GTTTTTTATATACTTAAAAAATATTTAATAAAATATATTTTGAATATATTTTAAATATATTTTAAGTATATTTTAAAAATTGTAATTTTGTAGAGTAATGTATTTAATCAAAGAATTTATCTGGTTGATTAAAAATTTTTAAATTTTAAGTAAAATAATTTTGTCTTCTATGAAAAACACAAAACTATATGAAATTTAATTTTAAATACAAGTATAATCAAAACACAATAAAATAATTAAATTTGAAATAGTTCAAAAACAATAAATCTAAAATAAAATATGATAAAATACTAGCTATTGAATTTTGAATGATTTATGCTAATGTCAAAAAACATATATTGATGATTGATTGATCACAGTTGGAAATAGAATACTCTATTATTGGCAAGTGAACAAATAAACTAATAAACGTTATAAGGTTTAAAAAAAAAATAATATTTTTCTTTAATTTCCTTTGATTCTACTAATAACATTGATTTATAAAATATATAAAAATATGAATAAAATTTAATATGAATAAATAATAAATATGAATACAATAAATATTAATGTGAATATGAATAAATAAATATGATGGTGAAATATGAATAAAAATAAATATGATGATATTTTTTTTTTAAATAAATTTAAGCATTTCAAAAATAGCCGAACCAACAACTACAAAAAGGATAATTCCCAATGTAATATAACCAAATGGTAATTTGTTTTCTTTTTCTTTTCGCTGTTATCATAATTATCATTATTATTTTTGAATAATAATGAATGAATATTAGAATAATTAATTAATTAACAAAAATAAACGTCATCATAACAATAAGTGAAATAATTTTAAATATATAATTACCAAAGAAGTTTTAACATGACCTCGATGATGAATATTCTCAGCATATGCTAAATTTTTTTTACGAATAATTGGGTTTGTAGTTCCGGGCTATTATTAATTATTTATTATTATTATTATTTATTTATTATTATTATTATTGTTGTCACGAACATTTCGCTCGATACTTTTTTTTTTTTATTATTAAAAAAAAAAATTATTTCACTTACCATTTTTTTTTTAAAGTAGCAAATAGAATAGATAAAGTAGCAATAGAGTAGTAGTAATAGAGTAGTAGTAATAGAGTAGTAATAATAGAATAGTTAATAGAATAGTGTAGTAATAATAGAATAATAGTGTTGGGTTAAAAGAAGAGAATAAATCATTTTTTTTATCATTTATAATAATTAAGATTACTATACTTGATCATTAGAAAATAAGAAATATAATTGGTCAAATAATTATGTAATAATAATAGATTAATAATAATAATAATTTTATTATTGGGGAAAATTGTTATTTGTTCACATGACAAAATTTAAATAAACGAAGAAATAATAAAATAAATAAATAAAAAAATCATTACGTAAAGATTTAATCATCATTGAAAAATAATCTTTTTACTTCTTTAATGATAGTTTTTTTTCTCTTTAATTCAATTTATGGAAATATCAACTCTACCATAAATATTCAAGCTATAATAAATAAATTAAATAAATTAATATAAAAAATTTTTTTAATAATAATTTTTTTTTTTACGAGTTTCTTTTTGTTGGTTTATTTAATGTTTACGGTGATTATCTGTTATTGTTATGCATAACGAATCAAAAATATTTTCTCCAAGATCTTGGTATAGTAAATACGATATACATACAATTATATGAGGCACAATTGTATGAGATTGTATGAGGCATACAATTATATGAAATTATATGAGCATACAACATATAGTATGACATTTTTATAATTCCATATAACTATTACTGTGTTAGCGTTTTTTTTTTTTCTGTTCCCAGTCGTTTGTTGTCAAATTCAATCAATAATACTGTCAATGATACAGTCAATAAATATAATCGATATTCGTTAAACAACAAATACCAGATACAGTATATTTTTACTACTATACTTAATATACTGAAAACAACAATGCATGTATTTACATTGTTCTTTATTTTTGTGTCCACATTTAGAGAGCATAATAATATTATAATATCTAATAATAATGTTTAATAAATATCCAATGATTGGGTAAATATCTTTATCATGTGGTGATAAAAGAGTTAAAGTTGAACCCGCGAATTTGGTAACAAACTTTTTATTGGGTCACCCCACCTTTTTCTCTCTCTTTTTTTTTCTTTTTTCTTCTCTTTATTATCATTATTTCTTTCTTTCTTGAAAAAAAATTTATGTATAATGAACAAACAAAAACAACAATAACAATATTATTTTTCAATTCCCCCCAAAATTTCAATAACCTTATCATAGTAATTAATCTATAATATAATATATATATATATGTAGGCAACATCGGCTCTTTCCATGAATAATAATAACAAATAAGTATTCTATTTTATTCTACTTTATTCCATGAGGTCATCAAATGTCACGGTATCAAGGAGCGCATTTAGAGAATATGGAGTAAATATGATATTTATCCAATAGTTGGGTTAAGGTCATAATAATACTGTAATAAGCTGAATAAGCTGTAATAGGGGTAATATATTATTATTATTATTTATATATATATATTTTTAACTTTACTAATAAATGAATGAATGCATTTGAAATGCGCCTTTTCTTAATATAAACAAATAAATAAATTAATTATCGTATGTTTATTTTTTTTTACAGATTGTTGTTACTATTACCTACTATTACCAATTTGTATTTAAACTATTTTAAACTATTTAATTAACTTCTTTTTTCTTTAATTACTTCTTTTTTATTAAAAAAAAAAAAAAAAAAAAACGCCAAAAAAAAATCGTAACGCAAAACCCCAACAGGAAAAGCTTGTATTTCTTGGTTCAGTTATAACTCAGTTAAACAAATTATATAAAAATATAATGTAATAAATATTTATAATAAAATATTTATATATTTTATAATATAATAATTATATAATAATTTGATTGTAAATTACTTTATTATACTTTATTTATTTATTGTTAATTTATATTAATTATATTAATTATATTTTATTTAATTAATTGCAATTATTATTATTATTAGTATTCTTATTATTATCATTTATTAATTAATTTTTACTTTCATACAGTATATTTTTTTTTTCACACAATAAGTTGTAAAAAAAAGTATAAATAAATGGAACCCATCTTCTTTAGTGAAACTTTTATAAATAGGAGAACAATCCTTCAAAACGTTTAACGGGGTGTTGTTTTTTTTTACTCTTATATTAAAAAAGAAGGCAGGGACCCCTTTTGTATGCCATTTTCAATTTCCCATGCCAAGTCGATTTACGAATTTTTTTTTTTTTGAGTGATTATTTGTTCGGATTCTCATCATCTGCCATCTCTTATAGTTGTCCGCGCATAATAAAAAGCTCAATTTTTCCCCACATCCCATTTCCAACATGACTGATGTCGTACCATCTGTGAGTCTGGACCAACAACATCCTCACGATCCAGTAGTTACTTTTCCTAACTACCAGTTTAATTTCTCAATTCCTTGTTCTTCGAACCTACAAAATAATAATAATTATAATAATTATAATCATAATAATAATAATAATAATAATCAACAACAACAAAATCATTCACAACAATCTTCGCAATCTTCGCAATCTTCGCAATCTTCCATTGATTTTAGCCCGGCATTATTCGACGATTATTATTTTCAAAGTGAATCTTTTTCCGAAGCAGCAGCTTCATCATCATCATCATCATCATCATCAACAACGTCGCCAACATCTTCTTTATTTGATTTACCTAATCATCAGCAGTTGTTTTTCGCAATGACACTTCAAAATTTTAATCAACCACAAGAAGATCCAAACTCTCATCATCATCATCCACCACCACAACCATCACCACCACCACCACAACAATTTTCACCTATCGAGCAAATCACCAATAATACTCAACAACCTACGGTGTTAACATCTTTAACATCTTCTCTAACGACACCTTCATTTGTTGAACCATCAGGAAATTATTTTGCAATTTCTCAGACTAATAATAATCCTTCCAACATGCAATCTGCTTCTTATTATAATTCTTTGATTACTGTTTCATCACCACCTCCACCTTCAACGTCCACTTCAAATAATCAAAGTTCTCCTGTTACCGATTCTCGTGGTGGTTATAATGTTAATACTTCGCCAACTATTACAACCACAACACCTACTTCTATTAATAGAAGAAACATTAATCAACCACAATTACTTAGAAATCCTTCTTCTAGTAATTATAATAACAGTAATCATAATAATAATAATAATAACAATAATTATTTGCATCAAAGAATTATTTATGGTGGTATTATTCCTTCTTCTTCACCTTCTTCGTCATCTTCTTCTTCTTCTAACAACAATAACTCTAATAATATCCGACATCGACAAAAAATGAATCCTCCAAGTCCAATATCACCAACTACATCGACTTCCAACAATATTTCATTATATGGTTCTAACATAAATACAACAAATAATATTTCTCATGCTTTGACCCCATTAAATCAATTAAATTCTACTACTACTAATAATAATAATACTACTGTCACAACTGATAATGGTCATCATCATCAACATCCTCATCAAAATCCACATCATCTACATGCACATCATAAAAATGTTCCGACAACAATGCATTTACCGATGTTTGAATCAACGAATAATAATTCAACGACGACAACAACTTGTTGGTCTAACACTACTACATCTCCTACTGCTACAACCGCTACAACCACTACCGATAATAATAATGTTACTTCATCATTATCTCCTTCCACGATAATAACGACTAATCTTAGTAATATTAATAATCTTGGTAGTATTAGTCCTACAGCAGTAGAAAATAATACTTCCCCTCCTACTCCGACGTATTCTTATAGTGGCCCACCGAAATCATATTATTCTCGTTTACCACTTTATGATAGACCATTTAAATGTGATCAATGTCCTCAGAGTAAGTTATTATTATTATTATTATTATTATTATGATTATTATTAATTATTTCAATTAATTAATTAATTATTTATTTATTTATTTATTTTTTAAAGGCTTCAACCGCAATCATGATTTGAAGCGCCATAAGCGTATACATCTCGCAATAAAGCCATACCCTTGTCAATCTTGTGAGAAACAATTTAGTCGTAAAGATGCTTTGAAACGACATTGTTTAGTTAAGGGTTGTAATAGTGGTTCTATTAGTAATAATAATAGCAATAACAATAATGGTACTGGAGGTAATAATAGTAATAATAATAGTAGTAATATTGGAAGTAATCATAATTCCGGAGGATAAAAAAAAAATGAGTGAAAGAAGTTCAAGACGAACGACGACATGATGAAGAAGGAGGAAAAATCAAATGATTGATTAAAACGATGATGATGAAAAAAAAACAATTTTAATATATATTTTTTTTATTACTAATGGAACAATTATTATTATTATTATTTTTTATTGAAATGTTGGAAATGTTGGAAAGTGCTGGTGGAAATATTTTTTTTTTTAAAAAAAATTAATTTCAGTGATGACTTCTTTTTTTTTACGACTTTTTTACGAATTTTTTTTTTTACGACAATTACTCGAAAATTATGCCTTCTTTTTATTATTATTATATTTTTTTTTGATGTCTCAAGAAACTAATTATAAAAATCCCCCCCCAAAAAAAACAACCACTCCCCCTTATATAAATTCTTTAAGGTATTATATTAGTTATTAAAAATATCAATATAATTATTATGTCTTTATTTTCTTTATTTTTGAGAGATCAAAAAAAAATACATGTTTATATAATAATTTAGAAAGACAGCAAATGGCTACAACGAATATCGAATCATTTTTTTTAGATCTTTGAATCAACACCCTCTGAAAAATCAAAGCGCAATGTTAAATAATATATATATTATATTATATTATATATAAAAAAAATATTTCATGTATATAGATTTCTCTCTTTTTTTATTATTTTTATTGCTTCTCTTTCTCTTCAAAAAAAAAAATCAGCAAACAAAAAAGATTTTTTTTCCTTCTCTCTCCCGATCTACTTACTACCCAAAAATGGTGCCTTTTTTTATGTATATATATAGTAATCTGTTTTTTTTTTCTTCTCGAGAAAACTCGTTAATTTTTTAAAATCTCTTTTTTATTTTATTTTTCTTTATCGTTTTTTTTTATATTTCTTTTTAACCTTAAGTTTGCCATGCCTCCAAAACAAAAAAAAATTTCAAATATATATAAAAATTAAGAATTTTTAACTTTTTTTTTTCTTCAAAAAATTATAATGAAATTAATAGCAATAATATAAGATAAAAAAAAATTTTTCTACATATTTATACTTATTTTACGCGTCGTATTTATTTTTTTTTTTTTAAAAAAAAAAAGATAATACGAAAAAAAAAAATCAAAGTTGCAAATAATAAAAAAAAAATTTTACGTTATATAATTTTAAATTTTTTTACGCGTTTAATTCTCGTGGATATGATAATAATGAAAGTAATATAATAAATTTTTATTTGTTGAAAACCAAAAGCGCTGAACAGTAGTAATTTCTCGTAATTTCTGATGGTTCTTGTTTTTTTTAGGGGTTAAAAATCGGATCCAATTCAAATCTCTCTTTAATTACATAGTTATTGCAGTTATTACATTAAATCTTTTCTTGAGATTATTAATCAAATAATATAATAAATAATATAATAAATAATATAATAAATAATATATAAATAATATAATAAATAATATATAAATAATGTATAAATAATAATCCATGATAATAGTCAAAGAAAGGTAATAAAAGAAGAATTAATGCAATACAACAATACAAAATAATACAAAAACAATACAAACAATACAAAACGAGCTTTCTTTGTCGAAAAAAAATTATTATTATTATTTATTTATTGAACTGAATTTAATTTATTAATAAACAACAACAAGTTTCCAACTAATTGGAAACACATTTGTTATTGTTGTAAAACTATAAACAATAAATTATTTGAACTTTTTATTTTTGGCGGGTAAAAAAAATGCACTTGATATTTAATTAATGAATTATTATTAAATGATGACAAATTCAATTTTTTAGACAATTTTAGACTGGGCTGATTATCATAAATAAATAAATCAAATCAATCAAAAAAAAAAATCCAAAATATCCAAAATATCCAAAATATCGAATATGTAAATTATCGTAATATGCGAATGTTGAATATTGGAATATGCAAATATGCGAGTATCGGAATATGCGTATATATGCGAATATCGTATTTTGGATAAAAAAGAGAGTTACATATTTAACCGCGGTTTGCATCAATCCCCAAATTTAGGATTTTCATTTTAAAAAACGCCCATCACAAATTATCATACATACATACAATACAATGTAATAAAGTAAGAAATTGCCTAATTCTTGTCATTTATTAGTACTATTGTTACCTGTATCTTGGGATATTGCTTTTCTCTCTCCTTCCTTCTCCTCTCAATCAATCAATGATATATCAATGATTGAATTAAAACGATTATCTTAGGGCATCACCAAAAATCCATAATCAATAGCGATATAGCATCAAATGCAATGAGACATTACATGTACATAACCCATAATTGTGATTTGATTCTGATGAAATTAAAATTTTATTATTATTACGTTGTTCCGACCCTAAAAATATGAATGATAAATTAATGTCATCATTTTTTTTCTTAAAAATTAACTCTTCCCCCATTTTTCGATTGATTACCCCTCCCCCCCCATTTTTCATATATATCTATATTATTTTTTTTTCATTAAAGTAAAAGTCATCTGCTTGAAATTACCAAATATGTTAAATTCATTATTTTATTTTATTTTATATAAATATATTTATTATTTAATAAAATCTCTCACGGAAAGAAAATTCCTTTTTATTTATTTCCCCGTTTTTTTATGCAGATTTGTTTATTTTATTAAAACTTACATTATTTATTTTTATAATTAATAATATTAACACTTTTGATAATATAAAAAAAATAAAATAAAATAAAATAAAATAAAATAAATAATAATAATCGTACTATTCTTTTGATATTTGATGAACAGAAACCATTAAAAACTTTTGGTATTTTAAGTTTTTTAAAAAAGTCAATTTAGTCTATTATGTAGTCAATTTAATCAATTTTAGTCTGTTTATCAATTTTAGTCTTTTTAGTCTGTTTAATATATTTTATTCGGTTTTAGCCTATTTATGATAAAATTAATGATATTAAATTAAATAATAATTAAGATAAAAAAAATAGTTCATTAATTTAGACGCATGTATCATAATAATAATAAAAAATATCGAGTTTATTTTTAATTTAGTAATGCATGAAAAATATGATATGATTATTATTTTTGATTGATGATGACTAATAGGAAAAAAAAAAAAATTTTTTTTTTTTTCATCTAAACTGAAAATAAATAATCTTGGTTTCGGGAATATCAAAGTTACTCCATTTGGAATTAAAAAGCATTCATACTCAATACTTTATATTTATAATTATACTTTATATTTATACTTTACATTAATTTATATTTTTTTATACTTTACATTTTTTATACATAGATAAATGAACAGATATATATTTATACTTTACATTTATGCATTATATGGTTTATATGAATATGTATATATGTTTATTATTTATTTATTTATTTTTGTATATTGATATACAGTAATATAATAATAGTAGTAATCAGGTCAGGCTTAAGGTTTTTTTAAATTTCGAAATCCCAAAATTTGTCAAGGGGAAAACTTTTTTTTTTTAAAAAAAACACATCGAAAAGTATAACATCAATTATCTTTACTTTTTAGTAATAATTAATTTACTTGGAAATTTATATATACATATATTATATAATAACAATAATAATAATAATAATAATAATAATGGGAGTTTTTTTTTTACTAATCCGCACGGTCAGTTTTTTCAAAGAAGACAAATAATTTTTCCATATTACATATACAATATACAAATATACAATGTTTAACCAATAATTTATTATCCGAACATTTTTTTTTTCTTTTTCGGAAATTTTTAAATATTTCGTTCTTATTAATTATAAACAAGATATAGAAAAGAGGCGGGAGAAATAAACTTCTCGAATTAGTCAAAATAAAAGAGAACCCATTCAAATATGTAATAAAATTAAATTTATATGTATATACTAAATAAGTTAGTATTTCGTTCATTCATTCATTTTTGTAAGAAAGTATCAAAGAAAAAAACAAAACCATCAACTAAAACGCATTATTGTAATATTACAAAATAACATAACAATGTACAATTTGATTGATGACAAAAGTAGATGACAAACACAAAAAGAATTAATATAGAAAAGAATAATAAAATAAAATAGAAAAGATATTGTAACTTAATCTTATTATTACGTTATTACATTTTTTTAATGATTTATTGAAAACGATTAATCACGTGAAGATATTACATTTTTTACTATGATAACAAGTAAAATATCTTTTTTTTTTTTGAAAAAAGTGCGTTTGTTTTTGTTTTACGCTTTTTTTTTTTGTTGTTGTAAAGTTGTTTGATATTTTTTTTTTTGAGATTTTTTTGACATTCCAAAGTTGAAATGTCATACGATAAACAAAAAAAATCGAACACAAATTAATAATAATATATTAATTAATTAGATTAAAAAAAAAAAAAAAAAACTGCGTGACTTGGAAATTGCTTACCTAACTGATTACATATTTTCTTTATTTATTTAGTGTCTACAGTATTATTTACACCATGTACAATATAAATACAACAGAGATAATCATTTGAAAAATAAACGCGAAAATTCCTGTTTTTGCTTGCTGATGTAATCTTTTCTATTGATTACCATTCTTTTTATATTGTATTCTATTGTATGTATTTTGACTTATGATTATGATTATGTTGATTATATTGATTATGTTTGATTATATTGATTATATTGATTATATTGATTACATTCATTATTCTATTCAAAATTGGATTTCATCTTGCATTTGCATTTATTAAAAAAGGAAAATGGTATCAATAAGATTTTCACCATAATTGGTCAGAGAGTCATCATTACATTGGTCAGAATGGTCTCTCTCATTTATTCTTTTTTTATAATAATAATAATAATAATAATAATAAATACAATGAGGTAAAAAATCATTGGCCATCTGTTATGATGATATAAAAATTACAGTTTATTCATTATTAAAATGTTCCACGTTCGAATTCCATTTTTTTTTAAAAAAATAATTGTAATACTGTGTAATTTATATTTGTAATTAACATTTGTAATTTATAATATGTAATATGTATGTTAGATTAAGCATTTGGCGTAATACATTATTAGAATCCAATGCGGATAATTTTTTAATAATTTTTAAAGAAACGTGATTAATAGCGTTTGATGATATTTTTTTAATAACTTTTGAATTTAGATCAAATTTCCCCCCAAAACTTGTTTTTTTTTTAGCAACTTTCACTTTATTAAAAACGATGAGGTAAAAAAAATAATATACTTAAAAAAAACAAATACATACACCTTATTTTATTATACATTTTTTATGAGCTTGTGAAAGGACAAAAGGACAAGAAAAATAATAAAAAAGTAAATATTCCCTTGACAAAAAACAAAGTGTATATATAGAAAAAAATAAAATAATAAATCAGTCCTATTACACTACACTCACTTACACTACAATTAATATATGTATAATAATAATAATATATATAATATTTTACAAATAATCCCACACTTATAACTGTACTGTTTGTTTAATATATTATTATTATAAACAAGTTTTTATTAAAAATATTGTGATAACTAATTAATTAATTAAATATATACCAGTGATGGAAAAAAAAAATATGTAAGAAAGGTTATTTCCGTATATTTAATAATAATAATAATAACAACATGAATGAAGTTGGAATTTACCATTATATTCAATAGTGTTGAACAAATCAAAATATTTTACTGTATTTGGTAACTACTTACTAGGAAGGAAGAATTTTAATAGTATCCGAGTTGCACGATAAAGGATGATGATAGTACTTTAAAAATTACAGCAAACCAAAAAAAAAAAAAAGAAGAAAAATGTTTTTAAATATCTACAAAGAGAGAGTAATTTGTGAAAAGTTATGATTACGTAATAATCTAATATGGAGTACACGTGTGACGTAATTATTCTCACATCCTAATCAGAAAGAACAAGTAGTTATTCCAAATAGATTTAAATGTACACAATTAAAATTATCAATCCTACTAATAATAACGTCGAAAAATGATGTCAACATTACAGAGAAAAACACGAATGAATTATTTATTTTTTAAATTTATTTCGATCAAAATACATTCTAAAAATATACATTCTAAAATATATTCCTAAAAATATATATATTTATTTATTTCCTAAAATAAAATTTATTATTACTGTACAAAAAAAAAAAAATCAAATTATCATTTGGAACAAAACCAAATAATAAAAAAAAAAAAAAAAACTACAGATATATATAAAAATAAATATATATATATCTGAAAGTATATATTTTCGTATACAAACAATATGAAATGTTTTCAATGCCATTATATCACCATCACTGTAATCACTGTAAAGACAACATCAGCATCAATTCAATAATACTATCAACTTAAAAAATATATATATATAAAATAAAAATAAAACAAAGAATAAAGAAGAATAAAGGGGTTTTATGTACATGTGAATTAAACAAAGGGAGTAAGAAAAATAATAAATAATATATAAATATATGTTAACCACAATCACCATCCCAAATTGTGATGTGATTTTGCGTCGTTTTTTTTTGTTATTGTTTTACTATTTATATTTATATATTGCTATAGTTTAATTAAGTATAATTGAAATAAAGTGGTTTAATTGAATGTGATTGAATTAATAATTATTTCGTGTTTTCGTATGTTAAATTGTCGAAATTTGTAATCAATCGATTCGGTTTTAAAAAATATATGTATATATTAAGGAAACTTAATAATAACTAAATATCATCATCAGTAATTAAAAGAATTAAAAGATGAAAACCTAATGTTCAGTTGATATAATTTACAATTAATTGTTTTTTTTTTTCAAAAAAAAAAAAAAAAAGATTCAAATTATAGATAAAGAAATTAAGAGATTATAAATATATTAATTCCAGATATCTTTATCGTTCCAAATATTCTGCTCTAAAGTGCCCAAATAACTTGTTGCTCCAAGAGGATCTTCTTGTTGTTGATGATTGGTTTGGGTTTCATCATTTATAGGATTAGGATGAGGAGTAGGAGTAGGAATAGGAGGAAGAGATGAAAACATTAATGGAAATATTGGTGTATTTCTAGAACTTGTTGGAACTTGAATAAAGGGATCTCTTGATGTAATCGATGAATAGGATTGCATTATTGACGGTTGGCTTTGGTATGAATTAATATTAGAGATGGTTTCATTTTCATTTATATATCTCTCAAATCGTATTCCATTTCCATCTGACACCTCTTTTACAAGATCGATACATCCAGGTGGTAAAATATTACTAACTTGTTCTTTAATTTGACCTCCTCCTTCTTCATCTCCAAAAAAAATTTCCTGAACTTTATTTTTTCCTTTATGTTTTCTTTTTGACATTGTTAATTTTTTTATTTTATTTTTGGTTGATTTCTTATTATTTTCAGAGTAATCAATTTGATATATTACGGGAAAATTATAATCTCCGTGTCTACCTAATTTTCTACTATGATCATATAAATGTTCAATATCATCATTTGGATTTGGATCTTCAAAATTTAAACTATTATCAATATCATCATCATCAACAATTCGATATTGTTCTGAAAGTAAGGCAGTCCGAGAATTTGGTGGGAGCCAATATTTATTAGCTCCACCATCAGTAAATCGTAATCCTGCCATTATTCGTGCAGTTCTACTAGGTCCAATATGTGCCATTCCTTCAGCAGGTTCAAAAGTTCTATAATTGAAACGTGAACCTCTAATAGTTTGTAATGTATCTTCAATCACATCACGATATCCTATACAATCTTTAAATGCATATTTCATTGGCATTCGACCTGATCGTCCATAAATATCGTAATAATCTTCGTATGAAAATGCATACCTTTAATAAAATAAAAAATAACAAATAATAATAAAAATAAAATTTATTTTTATTAATTATTTCAAATTAAAATTTATAATAAAAAAATTTTTGATAAAAACATTAAAATAAATAAATTATTACCAATGTGCCATCGATGCAAAAAACATTTCAATTGTTATAAGAAAATCTTGAATTGATACTGAAATGCTCTCGGCTGAGTCATTTTCGGCTAAAAAATCAATTAAATATTTTGATTAGATTAATTAATATTGATTATATTAATTATTTTCTTTTTTTTTTTTTAAAAAAAAAAAATTGAGAAAAAATGATAATAAAAATAATAATGCAACATACAATCATGAATAACTCCAAAATACACAAGAATGGATAATGTAAACCCTTGCCAAAAAGAAAAAAATATAACTGCTTTCACACAAAGGAATTTTGGTATGGGTCTTTAAAATATATATAGAGAGAAAGAGAGAGAGAGAGAATAACAGTGAATATAAATAAATAAATATAAACAAATGTAAAATAAAATAAATACATATCACGTCTGAATATTTTACGTACCGATATGGTTTTAAATCATCTTTTGTACAAACATAAAAGATTATCAAGCAATAAAAGCATAACGAACAGCTTACATTATAAATCAAAGAAACCCATATATATCCATTTTTTATTTCAATATGACCTTCTCCATAAGTCTCTGCATATTTCAGTATCATGGTTAAAATTGCCAATATAGGTTTAATGTAGATATATTGAAGGATCCCTCGTTTTAAAAAAAGAAACATGTAAGGATCTCCGATGTCCATATCTTTAACAAAGATATTAACAGGAAATAGATGAGGAGTTGGTGATCGACCATGTAATAAAATCAAAAGTGCTCTTTCTCCCCCAAGATAATTTATAAGAAGATTAAAGAAACAATATATAACGAATGCCTATTTATAATATATATTTTGTGAATTATATTGTGAATTAGATTGTGGATTATATAAATTATATAAATTATGTGAAATTATGTGAGAGACTTTTGGTTTACCTCATAAATATCTCTTATACCATCTACATAAAATGAAGCAGTTGTTGAAGCCAAACTGATCCATGATGAAACAGCGTAAATAGGAACCCTATTCACGAAAATGATAACAAATAAAATATACTGTTAAAATCAACATGAACAAAACTTTAAAACCAAAAAAAAAAAAAAAAAGGCAATTTATTCGTGCACCTATTAAAAACTTACATTATTATGATTCGGACCACATAACGCTGCAAGGACTATTCAAATAAAAATGAATTAGTGGTGATATTTAAATAATATTTTGTGAAGTTCATTCTGTCTAATGCAAATAAATATAACATTTATAGCATTAAAAAAAAAAAAAAAAAAAACTAGAAGAGATCTCTTTCAAACTTTTGGCATTACACGTACCGGCTTTCTGTAATTTTTAAGATGAGACCAAATGGATATAACAGATAAAATGCTAGCGGTGATTGCAAAGAATGCAGCAATTTCCCTTATTATTGCACCATGTTTAAATTTCTCGGAGGATCCACCTCCTCCACTACTATCTAATTCTGAATGTAAAGTATACATTTCACAACAAGTTTTACAGTTTATTATATATTAGAATATTATTATTGTAAAAAAAAAAGAAAAGGTAATAATTACAACAGGTTTTATATAACAAGCTAGTCCCCCCAAACTTTTTTTTATTATTTTTATTTTTTTAAAAAATTTAAATTATTTTATTTTACGGGTAAGGGATGAATGATAATAAAAATGATTAACCTATTAGCTTATTAGGTAAATTTAACAGATCTTAAAAAAAAAAGCAGAATCTTTTTCTTTGAAGAAAAAACTTTTGCAGGAACGAATAGAATATTTATTATTATTATTATTATAATGATCTTACATCATTTAATCAATTTAATCATTTATATTTTTTTCATTATTTAATAATAAAAAAAATTCCCATCCATTTATTACACTTTTGGATCAATTTATCAAAATTTTCTCAGGGATTCCATGTTTGGATGGGTGTCTTTTTAACATCATTTATTATCTTTAATTTGGTGTTCATTATTAGAAACAAAAAGGACTTTATTTTGCATAAATGCTGAATTTTGTGTTTTATAAATGTTTATAAATGTTTAGAAATGTTTAGAAATTGTTATTAAAGTTATAAATGTTTATAAACAAAAATAAAGAACAAACATTTTTTTTACACATATAGAAATTGAAATTTGAAGCTGCATAAATTTAAATAATTAATTACTGTGCCATTCGATGATCAAGGGGAGAACTATAACTTTTCTTTTATCTTGGCAAATTTGTAATAGGTTTTTATTAGATTTTAATTAGATTCATTTAGTCATATTCATTGAGAGCATTGATTTAAGTTACTTTGAGTTAACCATTTTTGAACATTATTATTTTCATTTGTATTTGAACTATATATAACTCAAAGAAATGAATCTCAAGAAAGAGAATTGATAATTTTACTTGATTCAAAAGTTACTATATGGAGATAATCTCGGAAAAATGATTAGACTGTACTACCGAAGAAAATTTAAATTCTATGCATGCAGGATAAGCATCTTATCAAACCAATTAATAATCTATAATTTAAACGTAATGCTGCTTTTTAAGTGGTTTACTAATAAAACTTATCTTTGAATCATGCAATAAAAAATAACTGAATCTCAGGGAGGGAGAATGTCTCTCCAAATATTATATATCAATGGTGAAACTTTAAAAATCAACGATGAACTGCTCAATTTCGTAATATCAAAAATTGTCATTCATGGTGGTGTCAAGTAAAGAACTTAATATTTCAATAGCTCAAAACTTGGAATATGCTAAAAATGGGAAGTGTGTTTCCGAAAACTCTTATGGGAATGTAAAATAAACATCTATTTCGTACCTCTCTTGCACATATTAAAAATAGTACTTGATGTTATGAATGTAGGACACTTGGACTTGAATTTGCCCATAAATCTTGCACATAGAAAGGAAGGGATTCGGTCTTTCTAATCCTTACTGCAATAAACAAAGTCCATTGTTTTGGGGTTGTTCTAAAGGTCATTCATGCTTTAATTGGTAGTATATACATTGTTATGATGTGATAAAAATCGTATAAAGTATAGTAACCTTTCAGAAAAAAATTTTTTTATGTTCAAAAGGTCCAAATAACGTGAATTTGATCATGAAGTATTCACATGACTGAACTTTCAAGCTACATACATATTGAGACAGAATAATATGGTAGATACTTTTATTTTAATTTTTTTCTACCAACAATTCATTTTTCAGTTTATTAATAAAAGAACTATCCATCTATTAAACAAATCCAATTAAAATTTTATATTTGTTATTTAATTAATTGAATTAATTGTAAATCAAGTATCTAGAACATCAGTCCCAACAAGAGAGCTGTCTACTTTATTACCAGGTCTTCTCTGTCGACTTTAAGAGTATTTGTGCTCACCCACTTGCTTCATCCGTTATTATCTCCGATAGCAACTTCAAATGCTGACGATACATAGAAAATACGAGCGGGATGTCCATATCCGTAAGAATTGGAACTTTAATTCTCCAGCCTTCTTTTCCAAGCATGCTACGATGACAGATTTATACAGTTTATTATTTTCAACAGGATCATTAAAATTATATTCGAGTTTGACAGAATTAGTCATTCCTGATCTTCTAACTTGAATCCTAACCTTTATTATAAATAAACAAATAAAAAAAAAATATTTATTTATTTTGCTATTGGTACTGATACGGCACCGACTTGCTACAATAATCAATATTTTAGACCATGTGTTCGTGATTAACATCGAGCAGACACTGTCCTTGCTGGCGGAGATTTCGCAAGATTATTGTAACACAATTTATCAACTGGTAAATATATTGCGCCAGGCATTTCTTCTTCGAGGTTCTCTAGTTCCTTGCTCGTATATTCTGACCCGTATTCCTTCACTTCTTGTTTATACACCAACACCGAGCTGTCTTTATGCTCATCAAATGTTCCTTTATCAATATTGTCATAGAAGAAGATAAGGTTGAGCCAAGAAAGAAAAATTGGACCTCCCTACGTAAAGTTAATATTTCATCATTAGATATTTATCAGTAGATAAAATCTATTATAATTTTTATGTTATATAGCTATGTCTCTATCACAATCTTCCATTAAAGCAGGCCATCTGAAGTTCTGGACTACACGATCTACAAAGGAATTAGTTAGAGACAATATCAAAGCACTGCCATACGTATTGATTGTACAGTACGTTATTCAGATAAATTTCAGCCATACCCAGAACTTCTGTGCTTGTCCTGGTTCGGTTTCATATTTGTGAAGGGGTTCAATTGTCTCAGACGAATTGGAAATTTCAGTTGTAGTAGGATTTAGTACCTTGAACAAATTGAATGCTGTATCATTAAATGTTTATTAAGAATGAAATCGTTCATTTAATGACTTTGGAATATTTTACAATGAATAACACACGAACTTCTCTTTCTGATAAACTTCAAAACTTGAATATCTTAAATATCATCTTCCTTCCTATAGACAAAAGTTAATAAATGGTATAGATTTAATGCAGTCATGTGTACTTACTTTTCTCTTCGTTGTTAAATTTCGAATTAGTTGCAGTAGACATATGGATAAAAAAAAACTAGTTATAGAAAAATAGAAATCAATTGATGATTAGTTAATCAGTGATTCAATTCCGTGATCGCTCAAACGTCGTGATATCAATCAAAAAATAAAAGCAAAATTCACGTTTGTAATCATAAAATAAATATGTAATATCTGTTCTCACCATGGATTAGATAAAAAAATGAAAAACCGATGCGAGTTGCAAGTCACACGAATATTAATCTTTTGCGTAATTCAAAAAAAAAAGTGACGTAATCAATGATGACATATGGCACAATTAATTAAAGATATGGACTCCTGTAAATAAATTACGACAATTAAATAGAGTTATATGTATTATAAGATTATTGATTATAGAAAATTAAAACTTTAGATGCTTGATCAACGAACTCTTTAATTTTTTTTTTTGTATTTTTTTTTAGAATAACAATTTTCAATTTTTCATCATACCATATCTCAATAAGCATCTTTTTTTGCCAATTACAATTAACAATATCTTCAAGTTTTTTAATATCCTTATACCAACTAGTAATATGAAATTGGTGTTGACTTCCTTTCACTTTTAATGCAATTTGATATTTTTGAAAGAAGGCATCAAATTCTAATCTATTCAAAAAAGATCAATTATCAGTTCTTCATTAAGAATTTCTTTAGCTATCTAGTTAATTTGCGGGTTTCTTATATTTTGATTCTTTTTTAAAGTACTGTTCCAGTTTTATAATTCTGGCTAAGAGTTCATTATCCGCAATTTCAAGTTTTGCTCAATGAATCAATTTTAAGTTTAGAAAATTCGGAATTGTATATTTGCTATTGTTTTATACAAATATATAGTTCATTTATTAGCATATATAAATTTTGAGAGGAATAAAATCGCGTGATAAAATTTTAACTAAGGCACTTAGACAAAAAAAATGCATTAAAGAGTTTTAATTATATTATAATAATACATTTAGATTAAAGAAATTTTTTTGCTGTTTAAAGGTTTTTTGTAAAAAAAAAAAAAAAAAAAATCAAGATTGATGTTTAAATTTCTGATGAAGGTATTTCAAGAATTGGTTCCTTTTTGCGTCTCTTGAAAAAGATAACTCCCATAAAAACTAGAATTATAAGAACGACCCCACCTCCTAATCCTAATCCAATTGCCAAAGCTTTCAATGATTTTTTGGATGCATTATCATTATTGGACACAGTAGTGACATTAGTGACAGGAGGAATATAAGTTGTGACCCATATATATTGGTTTACATCAAAAAGATATACTTTAGTATTGAATTCTGAATTATCTATATCATATCCTAGAACATGAATAAAAATGATTAATAATATACATATGTTATATTAAATAAAAATTTTTATAATAAATCAAATTACCGAATGTAACTATCATATAATTTCCATATAAATTTGCAGTGTGTCCATATAAGTACGGAGGTGAATTAAATAATGATGGAATTCTCCATTCATAAATTTCCTTGTTTGTATTTAATATTGCGAGTTTTGTATTAATACGGGAGTAATTCGTTAAACAACCTCCAAATAAAATAATTTCACCTCTCATATCTGTATAAATATTTTTATTTGAAATTATTATTATTATTATTCCTAAAGATTCTTATAAATAATTTTTACAATTTATAATTCTTACTTAATACAGTAGTATGCCAAAATCTTGAATCAACATCATCTGCACCAATAGGATCCTTAAATTAAAAACAAAAGGTTAAAAATCAAATATATAATTTTTATAAATTACTTTATTATTGTTCCAACATACCATATATGACCATTCTGCTTTTATGGTATCGAATAGTTTTAACTAACTCAATTAACATAAAAAATAATTATAAATCAACTTCTATTTGACATTATATATAAATAATTTACCATTTATCTACTTACTGTTTTAGAGTTTAATAATTTCCAAGAAAGAGCTGGAGGAATTGCTTGAGTATCCGCCTCAAGCCCACCAAAATAAACAATAATTCCATTTTTCAAAAGATTAGCTGTATATGCGCTACACGGTGAAGGAAGATTCATAGTTATACTTAATGGTGTCAATTCCATTGAAGAAACATTAAATATTCGCATATCATTATAATATGTTCCGTCAAATGCTGTATCATTAGTAACATTAAACCCGCCAAAAATATATGTAATCCCTTTATCATTAGTTAATCCCACTATTTCCTGTCTGGGAGTAACTTCACCAGTGTACGGTGAAGTCCATTTATGTGAGGAATGATTATACATATATATAAAGTCCGAATAATCATTTATTCCGGTAGTTTTGTTTTTCATATAACCTCCCATTAAAAAAATTATATTATCATCGAGTGTGCTAACAAAAGCAGCTGCTAAATATGTGAATACTGGAAGGTTTCCTCCCAGGACTATTTCCCATGAAGGATTATCGCCATCAAATTGCTTTGTCAAATCTAAATAAAATAATTCATCATTATAAGTTTTTGTGATATTTGTCTTATTTTTCCATCCACCAAATGATAAAAGTTGATTTTGAATTACTAAACTACTATGACCAGCTCGAGGTTCGGGTATATAACATAAAATTGAATTAATTAGCAACGTAATACAAAGAATTACGAGGCCCAACGAAAACATTTTTATATATAGGTAGGCAGGAACCTATTTCTGAAAATAAAGTGAAATAGTTTTAACTAAAATACGTTATCAAGTAAAACCAATTCTTCATTTATATACATTGTCAAGTAAAACCAATTCTTCATTTATTTACATTGTCGGGCAAAAAAAAATTTTCATTTATATAATGAAAAAATCTGGTTTCAATCTTCATTATTATAATGAAAAATATTTGCGTCACGCTAGTTTTGGCACAATTGTCAATACCCAATGCAAAATAAATGTAACGATTTTCAAATTGTTACTCCTCCCCCAAAAAAGGTAATAAATGTAATAAAGACCGTGAAATGATAAGCTAAATCTCACGTTTTGAAATTTTTGAAAAATCAATTTTTGATGAAGTAGTGACAATTCAAAAGTTGGATAACTTTACCATTTTTACGTGATAATGGAGGTTGATTTTCCATCTCGTGACTTCGATCACATCGATCATCGGGTATGCAGATAAACTGTGTACGACACGCGACTGTATATACACAACACAGAAAAGGATTTATACCCGTGACCCTAACCTTAATTTTGACCAATAACAACTAGAAGTACGAATTTTATGGCTATTTTTGTAAAATCGTCCATTACAAAATAGCGTTTCGTACCATACAGTTTATCGATCGATCACCGATCACGTTTTAAATCGTCACGAAAAAAAAAGGGTTTTGGTTTTATTGGTGACAGATAAGGGTTAAAAATAATAAAAATTGATATTAAGAGGTGTGACACAGGGTGACAAATTTTTTGTGTCTGAACTAACCCTAACCCTTGCATTTAGTCATATGCAATAAAGTAGCCCATGCGCCATAACGCAGATGCGTTAAAAAACAAAATCCTAAAAAAAAATATTTTAAAATCATCCGTCACCCAATACTGACAATTGTTGCATTGTTGTTTTACGAAAAAATAAAGTCGTTTTTTTTTACTCTTATTAATTAATCGATTGCAAAACTAAATCACGAACTCGGCGATGTCCTGAAGTCTTTGTTCATTAGTAATTATCGAAAGCAAAAAAATTTTTCATCATCCTCTCATATCATGTGAACGAATACAAGCCAATAATATTGCAAATTCCTGGTTCATGTGATGAGAGATCAACGGGACTAGTTATTGGATATTCGTGTCTTGAACTCACCAAAGACACGCATTACTCGCCTTGAATTCCTTATCATATTCTTTTGCTTTTTCACTTTCTGGTGGTTATTATTAATTAGGTGCTTAGGATTTTATATTCAACAAGTGCAATTCCTTTTTTGAACTTCGACGGATACGTAGGGTTGAGAACATTGATTGATGATTTTTTTTTGTGCTGCCAAAATTCAAGGGCACTTATCGTTGTAACTTGTTTTTTTATTTTTATTTGGCAGCATTACTAATTATGAGATTGTCTACAAATAGAAATAGTTTTAATTATGAAAATATGATATACATATACATATAAATATGCATTGATTTTGAGTGTTTGTACAAGAAAAAAAAAAGAACCAAAAAACGTAACAGATCATAATTATATTATAATAGATAAATATACAAATAAAAAATAAAATATACAAAAATGTAAAGAAAAATAACAAAGTAATTCTCTCTCTCAGATTTCAAAACTATGAAAATATAAAATCTTGATCCATTGTATGATTCAACTCATGATTATCATCTTTCAACATCATCATTATTATTATCAATGATGTTAGTGGTGATAGTATTCATAGCCATAGAAATAAATGAATTTTCATCAGGAGATTGAATTAAAGAATTTTTTGAATCAATTATATTTGTTATTATATCACTAGATGAAATAAATTGTACTTTAGATTCATTACATTCATTATTATTACTATTATTATTATTACTATGATTATTATTACTATGATCAACAAATTGAAAAGGTGTCCAAATGGGAGATGATGTGAAATTTGGAGATAATAGAGAAGAAGGTGACAATGATGGTTGTTGTAGTTGGAATGATGGTGATGGTGATGGTGATGATATAAAATGGGAAGATGGATGATATTCAAATATATGATTATTATTAATAATGACAGGAGTATTAGAGTTTGATAACGTGGAGGAGGGAGTTGAGGAGAAAGAGGTGATATTAAGAAAATTGTTATTACTAAGAGGGGAAACCGAATCATCATTATTATCAAAAACATTATTATCAAGAATGATATCAACAATGTCAACATCATTATTACTATTCTTATTGACATTAACATTGAAATTGACGACGGTGGTAGTGGTGTGAGTAGTGGTGGACATGGATAAGTTTTCGAATTTAGTAGAAGAAATTGTAGAAGAAGAAGAAGAAGGAAGAGAAGGTGATAAAGTAGAATGGAGAATATTGGTATTTTGAAAAACATCCGTAGTAGGAATATTATCAGGGCCTATAGGAATTTCTTCTATATTTATACCCATAATACCTAAACCACCATAATTAGTAATAGTAGGTGGTGATGGTAATAGTAATTTATTATTATGAATATTATTATTGTTATCGTTATTATTGTTATCGTTATTATTTTTATCGATGGTGATGGTAGAATCGGCATGTGCGGAAGTGTGGTAGAAAGAATCAAATAGTTGATCGGATAATGTTGGTATCACTAGTGGGGGTGAGGTCTCAAAGTCTTAAAATAGATAGATAAAATATGTATTCAATATTTAATTAATATTTAATTAATATTTTTAATATTTAATAAATAAGAAAAGAAAATTTACGTTGATCGAAAAAAGCAGCAAAAGTTGCTCGATTGTCATTCCAAGTCGATATATTCCAATAATCATCTTGTTCGGCTTGTTCATCTTGATGAAGAAATAATCCCTTATCTTCGTTATCATTATTATTATTATCATTATAATCATCTTCGTTATCATTATTATTATTATTATTATTATCATCTTCGTTATCATTATTATTATTATTATTATTATCATCACTTTCGTTATTACTATTGATGTTGTCATTGTTGTCACTATTAGTAGAAATCAATCGAGAATAATAAATTGGTTGAATATTGTTATTGTTGTTGTTGTTATTATTGTTATTATTTATTATTAAAGAATTTGATTTATGAGATTTATAATCTTTGTGAGAAGTTAAAGAAATATTAGCAAGACTTTGAGTTCTTTGAGAATTAACTACTTTTGTTTTGTTATTAATTGATGAAGAAGGTAAAAATGATGTTGTCGCTGAATTATTTGTTGAATTATTAGAATTATTTGAATCTACTGATTTTTTTTCGCGATAATAATCTGTCGATAAAGTTAATTTCTTTGGTTTATTCATTTTAGACGCATTTTTAGATTCCAATGTGTCCCGTTTTACTTTGGCTCTACGATTTTGAAACCATACTTGAATAGCTCTAGATGACATATTAAGTTGAGTAGCTAATTGTGAACGTAATTCTGAATCAGGTTTTTGAACCTTTTCAAATGTATTAATTAAAATATTCGTTTCTTCTTCTGTTAAACGACGACGACGTTTTACGTGACGATAAGGAATAATTGATCGATAATGAAAAATGCGATTGCTACCGTTAAAATTCGATGGAGGAAATGGTGATTCGGAAGTGGAGGAGTCTTCATATATTAAAAGACAGCCGCCATCATCATAATAATAATAATCATCATTATTATTTTCATCTTTTACCAATTTACAATGTGGTAATATTGGTGGTGAGTGTGATAATGGTAAAGAAAACAAGAATGAATTATATGAATTATGAAAACCACCAAAAATATCGTTGCTATCTCCAAGATTTGAAGAAAACCCATTGGAATTACCATTATTATCGTTATTGACACTATTATCATTTTCATTATTATCATTATTACGATAATAATTATTATTATTCATCATCACATTATTGTTTGTTGTCGTTGGTAGTGGTGATGATGATTGTTTATAATATTGATCCGAATTAAAAGGAAACGTAGTTGCAATCATTGAACGTTATACTGAATATATATTGTATATAAATAAATCGGTAAATTTAAGTGTTTTTTTTTCTGTGAAAAAAAACAAACCGTGAAAAAAACGTTAGATTAAAAAAATATAAAAATATAAATATAAGAATTTTCTACAATAATATTATATATATCCTGTATATTTAAAAAACGAATTAAATGATGAAATTAGAACTATTAGAATTAAAAAAAAACAAAAAAAAAAAAAAAGGAAAGAAAAACTTTATATAAGAAATTTACAATAAAAAAAAAAGTTTATCACCTTTATTATAAAATATACTTTATCTTTTTTCTTTCTTTATAAATAAAAAAAAACTTTATCTTTCTTTCTTTATGTTTTTTTTTTCTGATCTTTTTTTTTTTTTATACCCGATTTTTTTTATTAATCAAAAAAACAGAAATATAAATAAAAAAAAAAGCTGTCGATTTTTTTTTTTGATCACTCTAAAAAAATTCGGCTTTTTTTTTTGTTGGTTGATTGCTTGTTTCAAAGGAAAAAAAAAATCAATAATTAATCATTTGATTTATATTTTTTTTTTGGTGTGAAAAAAAAAATGTAAATATAAATAAGATTAATTCTTTAAATAAATAAAAATGGTGATATGACAAGTTTTTTTGTTTTAACATTTTGCATTAACGAATATATCAAATTTTTTTATTTCATTGTTATGTGTTATGTGGTAAGATAAGATAATAAAAGTCACTTGAACAATTAAAAATTTTAGTCGGGAATTCAAATTCTTTTGATTTCTATCGTTCGATCGTTCGATCGTTCAGTTCCGATCAAAATGGTAATAGTAATGTAAAGCATCGTAATAAAAGGATACGTTTATTTATTTATTGATTTACTGTGGATCGTTCAACTCAAACATCAACCGTTTTTTTCAATGTACTGCTAAAGAACAATTTAAATTTCTTGTTATTTCTATATATGTATATATGTATATACTTATTTTAATATATACTTATAAATATAAATATCTAATTTCAAATATGACGTAAATTTGACGTAAATATTATCATTCTAATCATAAGTACAGGTGACACCCTTCGAATATTAGAATTTCTTTACTACTCTATATAAACCGTTCTCATATGACTCCCAGAAATGATCTGCAGGAATCTTTACATTAAAGTTGATATCAAATTTTGGATCTAAATAGTGCATCTAAATCTTTTTATTGATTTTTTTTATGATTTGAAAAATAAAAATAACTTATTTAATTATAATCTGATAGAAGAGGACATGAAGACATTGTTACTATTTTTTTTTATTCTCTTCTTTTTCAACTTATTTTTATATCCTCGCTTATAACTATTACACCTTTATTTTTATCTATAATATTTGTTACTGCCTTCTTTATTATTATCTTTGTCCCTTTTTATTAATAATCTTTAGCACTTACCTCTATTTATATTTGTGGTCCAATATGATATCTTTAAAAATAGAATAAAGTTTCAGATTATACCTGTACATAAAATTATTTTAAGATGTTGAAATTATAATTTTGAAAAAAAAAAATTAAAATAGTTTTTTATAAAAGACAAAATTATTTTACTTAAAATCTGAAATTTTTGACTACCTAGATAAATTCCTTGATCAAAGATACACTCCATATATAGAATAGATTTTGAGTAAATCTCAAAAAAATGAAATACTCCAAAAATCAGAAATTAATTTTGGAAACATGTATATTTCAAATAGTAATTTCATAATAAGTTAAAATAGTTTTTTATAAAAAATAAAATTATTTTATATAAAACTTAAAATTTTTTAATTATCTTGATAAATTTCTTGATTAAAAATACACTACTGATCAAAAATTTATAAATACCACACCTATAAGGTACCTAATAGGTATAAAAGTAATGTATATGTTCATATGCTTATTGGATATCTAATAGATGTAAAAAATATTTTATTATATTTATTAGATACCCAATATACCTATCAAATATCTAATAAGTGTATAAATATATATATTACTCTTACACCTATTAGATACCTAATAGGTATAGTAATTATAAATTTTTAACCAGTGCACTTAACTAGATATTTTTTTTTACTTTTATATATAGAGTACACTAGTTAAATACAAAAAAATCACTATATTAAATAATGATTTCTATACTATAGATTAGCTAAAAATTAGTAAAAATTAATTATCCTATTGTATCCTATATTATAAATCAATTAAAATCAGAATTTCTTTTCAGTATGACATATTTTTTATATTTGACCTGTGAAAGATTTAGATATTTTTAGTTTATATAAACTAAAAACATCTTAGATTAGATTATAATAGTCTTAGGTATAATATGTAGATTGCAAAACTCAAGTCAATCAAGTGATGGGTTAATCATAAAACTCAAGTCAGTTGAGTAATATGTTGATTACAATACTTAAGTCATACCTGGGTACTATATAGATTATATTTGTATTGTCACTTGAAAATTGCTAAAACATATATCAGTGTGATGAACAATTTATATTTGTCTTGACATACATTTTACTTTTTACAACAAATATCAAGATGGTATATTTTATGTATCAGGCCATATGTGATATAATGTATATTAGTTTGATAACTGTAACCAATTTCCATTGTTAAATCACATGGACAAAAAAAAATACCTGACAATGTATTCAGTCATGTGTCATTATTTACAAGCCTGATGTGAAGGCTATGTCCAAACTTGGTATGTAGTACTTTAGCTTTTTAATTAATTCCTCAATGAAGATCAGATTTGAGGTACTGTTATAGAATGAAAGTATCATGATCAAAAAGTATAGTATACAATACTAAAAACATCTGCAAGTAATTAATATTAACTTTTAAAAATAGTAGTGTTTAAAATTTAATTAGTAAATAATTCAATTAACAAATAATGATATTTTAACTAATATTTAAATTCAGTAACACACACTAATTAGCCACGAAATAGTAGTACAAGATCACGTGTTCGGTTGATATTTAGTTACACGAACATAATTATCAATTCATAACATTAATCATTATTACATACCATTATTTAACAAAAACTATTAATATTTATTATCAATTAGTATTAAATATATTTGGTAAATAGTATAAAGAAATAATAACCAATAAAAGGAATGCACAATAAGACACAATAAGGTACAGTAAGGTACAGTAATGATATAATAATAAAGATCATTAAATTTAAGTATATACTGATCAAATTATGAAAAATCAGCACTTATCATATACCTATTGGATATCTAATAGGTATATGATAGGTGCCTGATTTTTAATAAATTTTAATATATTGGACTTCCAATAGGTAGAGTGAGTATGCTAAAGTTCAGACATATGTCAGGTACATATTGGCAGATATCAGACACATATTGGACTCTGATTTTTTGATATTTTTTTTAAATATATCATCATATACTTATCAGGTATCCGATTTCATTTATTTTTTATCAGACACATATCTTCAATATATTAATATAGTATATCAGATATATATCAGTCACTGTATATTTCTTAATATCAGGAGCTTTTTTTTTACTATCGGATATCTATCGATGACTTTTATTTATATATTTTCATTTTTCTTATTACCAATAATCATATTTTTGTTTATTATTATAAAATATTAATGAAATATATTATTTATTAATAAAAAATATAAAATAAAAAATGTTATATATATTATATATTGTTAATTATACTATTTATACTATATAAAATGTTTTTAATATTCACATTTAAATCTATCTAATTATTTTTTTTTATTTTTTTAGATTTTTTTTTTCTTTCTTTTTCTTTTTCTTTTCCTCTTCCTTTTCTTTTTTTTTTTTATTACTAGTTTCTGTTTCATCATTATTATTATTATTGTCATCATTATTGTCGTCATTATTATCATCATTATTGTTATCATCATCTTGATCTGAGATATCAGGATCATAAATTGGGATAGTCTTCTTATCTTACTTTATTATTTTCAATATTTCTTTATTTAGAGTTCAAATAGGTATACCTTTTGAAACTTTTATTTCATTTTTGTTTAGCATATATTGTGAAGATCTAATTTGAAACTTGAGATTTTTTGGCAATTTATACAAAAGATCAATTGTTGGATCGATTCTTTTGTACAATAGCTTCTTTAACTATAAAATATTATTTGATATTATCTATTAATATTATATTTGATAGGTGTAAAAAATATACTATAATTATTGATCTTATTAAATCGAATCTCTACCATTTGTCCTTAATATAAATAGAAATTGTAGGTGTTTAAATACTTCTGCTTCTATTTGCTGTAGTAACAGTTGTGATGCTACTTCTACTTGCTGTAGTACTACTTTTACTTCTAATATTACTATTACTGTTATCATTATTATTATCATTATTATTGTTATTATAATCATTATTATTACTATCATTATTATTATCATCATCATCATTGTTATTACAATTATTATTATTATTATTATTATTATCATCATCATTATTATTACAATTATCATCATCATTGTTGTCATCATAATCATTATTATGATTGTCATTATCATAATTATTATTATAATCATTATTAACATCTATGATGTCTTGTTTTATAAATTTAATAAATTAATTTAATTATAAACAAAGTATAATAAATA